AGGGAAAAAAAAAAAGATAAGAAAAATATTCTTTTGGGTTGATATGATTTGTAAGATTTGGCCAAATGTTGTTCTTTAGTCAATTGTTGGTATTGAGAAGAAAGGAATAACCAAGCAGGCTCAAAAGTTACTTTATATATAACTCACATTGCCAACCGAAAAGAAAAAGAAGTAAATGTAACAAATTAAATGGGATTTGAGGAGAGTTTAGTGGACCAGCCAGCTATAAAGTTTGGAGAAGTTTTTGATTTGGCATAGCATGTGAGAGAGGTCCCAAAAAGCAACTTAAGCTCCTTGTGTTACGTTTTAAACCTGGCTATTGCTTTCGGTTCTTTAAGCCTTCCTTTTCTAAAATGTACTTAAAAGACTAATGGTTTTCTTGCTTACTTCTTCACCGTCCAAAATTGCCGCCTTGGGGGCTCACTTTCCCTGTCAAAGTCATTCACCAAAGCTTACTTGTTTTCTATATGCAACAGCTTGCTTGACGGGAATGGAAGCTTTTTTTTATTGTTGCCTATATATATATATATATTCTGGAGATCTCCGAGGATCACACTTATGATTTTGTACTAGTACTAATAATGCCCTAGGTATGCTTATTTTTTAAATTTCTCATATTTTAGGAAAATTAAGGTTTAATCCTATCTTTCTAATAAAGTTAATATAGTTATAAATAACTTTTTGGTAAACAATATTTTTTTCTCTTAATAGATTAATCAATATTCCACTTTTATCCCCATAGTTAAAACTTTCCCAATGATGTCCATCTAGTTTTTAGAAGTTTAACTAATTTTGTTCTTTACTCCAAAATAACTAACAAAAAGATACCATTTTTTAAAATTTTTATTTTATTTTTTCTTCTTTTCTCCTCACTAATCTTAGTATATGTATGTTATGATATGTAAAAAACAAAAACTCAAAACAAATTCAAAAGGTAAGGTATTTAGTGGTTAAGGGTAACATTATATATATATATATAAGGGAACCATTTACGAATTGATTGGGGCCTATTCAATTATAAAAACCATTTATGATCTCCATTTTCATTTTTTTCCTTTTTTATATTTTTTTCAATAAAAAAAATGAAAAACATGTTCATTCTTCGAAAAGGAAGAAGAACTTTTCCACCTAAAACAATAATAAACATGTCAAGATTACAACTATTTTCATTAAAAAAAAAAAAAAAAGAATCTACAATTTATAATACTCATCTTAATATTTTTTATTTTTGATAATTTAACTATAAAATATTAGTTTTATTTTTTGTGAATTAAAAATTATCATGAGAAAGTTAAATGTTAATTATTAACTCAAAAAGAAGAAACAATTTGTATTAAAAATATAATTATAAATAGTCTTATGACAATAACTAGATATGCAAATGTAAAAGAAAATAGTTTTAATGTTTAATATTGATAGAAGTGATTTTGTATAAAAGAAGATATCATATTGCTCAACATTTTATTCTGCTTTTCATTTAAAAAACATTGAAAATTTTATAAAGGAAGACTACACAAAACATTAAAAAAAATATTTTTCAAACTCACTTCAAATTTTGAAAACTAAAATCTAGTTTTTCGGTTATTTATAAGGTTAATACCATCACCTACTCTTATATAATATACCAATTTTTCAATATGTTCTTAAATTTTAAAAAATGTTCAATTTATCTTTATATTTTAAGCTAATTTTTAATCTATTATTTTGATCAAAATTTCTGATCAATTCATCAAAAATTAATCTTCAATAGTAAATATATATCACTTATGTCAAATAAAAAAATAATTTTATCAAATTACATATCATATGTAAATTACATGTTTAATTTGACTGAAAATTTTAACTAAAATGATAGATTAGAAACCAACTCAAAATATAAAAACAAATTGGAGATGTTATAAATTTTAAAGATAGATTAAAAAATTGACTTATTATATAACGAAAAGTGAGGATACTAACCCTTATTTATATAAAGGAATATTAGATTGAACATGAAATTCAATTTTTTCAAAAAAATTAAATGGTTTTTTTTTTTTTAGCAAATCTTAAAGTTTCATTGGATAAAAAAAATATTTGAGATTACTGTGTTAAGTTTTAAAGCTAATCACTTTCAAAGATTTTCTAGTCTTGCTTTTACAACTCAATAATACTAATGAGTTATAAATACCAATAGATTGAATTTGAATATATAAATAAAGAAATCTACAGCAAACTAGCTATAAATAAAAAAAAATAAATTTAACTGCCATTTTGATGTTGTTTTTGGATATATTACTTTAAACATCACACACACACACACACACATGTGTGTGTGTATATAGTGCATGAACGATTTGTACCTTTTATTTTCATAAATTATACTTTACACTCTATATATTAAAATATTATTTTAAAAACAACCTATATTTTGATTCTGTTAATTTTTTTTTAAAAAAGATTCCGGCTAAAAAAATTCAATTTTTTACAATTTTGCTATTAAAATTTTGTAATGGTAAAAAAACAAGGGTATTTATGTCTTAAAAAACAAAACTAATCCTTTGAGATGTAGCTTGTGGCTATTTCAACAAGAGTTACGTAATGTCTAAAATTACAAAACATCGTCAACAACAACCAGAACTATGTGCAGGGTGTAACAGGACAGACAAATCCAGAAGCAATTTAATCTTAAAGTAACCTTTATGTTAGACAACCTCACAAATATAATTCATTGTTGCTTGCTACACCTCAATAACATTGGAGAGTACTAGATAAGTAAAACCGAGAGTGACAGTCCATATGTTTTAAGCAACTGGACTTCGAAAGCAGAAGCTAGAAATCTATAAAATTAATAATTCCCAGCAAAACTTTCTCATGGAAATAATTAAACGCCAATGGTAACTTAAGTTTAATTCAACAAGAGGATATTCTCTATGCTATGCTTGCCTGTGTGAACTGTTGAGCTTGGCAAGCTTCTCCACTAAAATCTGAGGATTAAACAAACTTTCCATTTATTCTCCCAACAACTGAATCAAAAGGCAGAGCAGACCTTGACCTTCAAAAAAAAAAAAAAAAAGAAAAAAAAAGAAAAAGGAATTCTTCATGCATTCCTAATCAGCATTTTATGCGTTAAAAATGTTTTTATTTAAAAAAATTCAAACATTAAGAGTAGAGTTTCAATTCGTCTTCAATTTAACCTTAAACAGTCTGGACAGTCTTTGGTTAATAAGAAAATGTAGAAGTCATAACAATTTTCAGTCAACTAGAAAATGTAAGAAAAAAAACGAGCATTTTGCTCGACAATTTGTTGAACAAAACTGACAATTCCTAAGATTTCTCTCTTCAAAGCGAGAGAAGAGAAGAACAGAAAAGACGAGAAAAAAAGAATTAGGTGAGAGTAGTAAAAAAATACTTAGCTAGTTGTAAACAATTAATATATATATAATGATGTTTTAGTTTTAATTTTTTTTATGTATGAAAATTCATCATAAAATATATAAGATGTAAAATATAATTTATAAAAGTAGAGAATGGAAAGTGTTTTCACACTCAAATTACACAATATTTAAAGTTTAACTGTAGTTCTTTTTTTAAACAAATAAAGTCATTTTCTCTTAAAAATAAGGAATTTTTCCTGTATTGCGGCATAAAATTGTGAATTAACAAATCGATGATTACTGTGTCAGAAAATATTATAAAGAAATGTACCGATGAAAATAAATGTTTTATGAATGGTCCCATAACTTGTCAGAAAGCATTAAACCTGCGTATCCGAAAGCTCTTGCGTCATAACTAGATCAGGGTAGTCAGCAGAACTGTTAAATAACGAAGTGACCCGACCAATTGTTTTTTTTTTAAAAAAAAATTCAATAAATGTTTACTAAATGAGTCTATTATACATCACTAATTATCTACTAACAAAAATAAAATCCTTAAATAATAGAATTATCTAAAAAAATTTAAAGCGAATTATTATTTAATATTTTTTAAAATTAATTTTAATTTTTAAAAAATAAAAATGGTTAAAATATCGTTTTCAATAATTTAGCTTACAATCAACATTTGACATAACTAAAAAGAATAAGATTTATCTAAACAATAATAATTTGAAATTTAAATAACTCAAATTAATAATATAAATTTTATTCTGTAACAATCTTAATAGTTTTAATTATGCTAAGCATCTATTACCTATTTTTAGCTAAAAGACATGTGAGACCATAAGAGGGTAATTTGCCAAAGAAAAAAATAGTGGCTACCAAATTTGAAAAAGAAAAATAATATATTCTTTGTTTTAAATTGTCTTTTATGATTTTTTATATAAATTAAAAATTATTAATTATTATATAATATCATCATTTTTTATTCATTTTTTTAATTTTATTTAGATATTTTTTAAAATATAATTTTAATTAAAAATTTTAAAATTTTAATTAAATAAATATAAATTAAAAGCACTAGTGTAGCAGCCATCTATAATATGGGAGTATCTACGTGGCAAGTACGCACACCAAACGAGAGAGAGAGAGAGGGGGTGAGGTGACCTTTTCTTGGTCTAAGTATGTTGTTGTACTGACTCACTCACTCAGACTCTCTCTCTCTCTCTCTCTCGCTTTTACTGGTTATAGTTGAGCTGAGAAGCAGTGAAGAACAAGGAAAATGAACAAATAATAATAAGACACATTTCAACACAACAAACAAAACAAAAAAAAAATAATTGATTTTGTTTGTTATTGGCCTTCACAGTTACTACTAGTCCATCGATCTCTCTCCCAACCTTCTGTTACTCACCTAATTACTTATATCTTAATTTTTTCAAACAATATCCCAACCAATGCCCCGCCTCTTTCTCTATTTCACGGGTCTCTTCCTCTTGTCTTCTTGTTGCTTTGCTGCATCATTTTCTTCATCCTAATAGCTCGCTAACTAATTAGACTGATAATAATATTATTATTAATAAATCTTCCAACAAAATTAATTACCTACTTAATTTCTCTTACTTCTCACCTCTCTCCTCTTCTCAAATGCTTATGGAGACGATACCGCCATCGGAGAATTGTAGTGTTAAGGTTGCGCTTCATATACGACCGCTTATTGCCGACGAGCGTATTCATGGTTGTAAAGAATGTGTTTCTGTTATTCCTCGACTACCTCAGGTATGTGTTCTACTCTTTTTTTTTTTTTTTTTTTTTTTTTGAGCTCATTTTAATCTAATCTTTATATTTTAATGCGGAATTTTTGGCTTCTTTATCGATTATTAATGACTTGAATCTGTCTACTAATTACAATATTACTCTATCTGTACTGCATGTCCTTTTCTTTTTCTCGCTAACTGGAGGAATTTATTGATCATTAATTAATTATTTATTTATTTTTAATTTTTGGTTTGTGTCTCTGGCTTTAATACAAGTCAGATAATAGTTTGTTTCTTGTTGAATGCGCATGGTCTCTTTACCAATTGTTACTGAACTGGATGTTTGGAAATTTAGGAAACAAAAGGTACGGATTCTTGATTGCCAATGTTGAGCGATTTGACCACCTCGTTGGTTTTCATTATGTTTTAGGTACAAATTGGCACCCATTCGTTTACATTTGATCATGTCTATGGAAATGGTGGTTCACCTTCTTCTGCCATGTTTGAACAATGTGTTGCTCCACTTGTTGATGGATTGTTCCAAGGATACAACGCCACTGTTCTTGCGTATGGTCAGGTAATGCCTACCCCGCCACAAAAATTACCTGCAGTAGGGAATCAATATTCTATATAGAGCTTGATATATGCAACACATGCTGCAGACAGGATCAGGGAAAACATATACCATGGGAACTGGCCGCAAAGATGGTTGCCAGACCGGGCTGATTCCTCGAGTTATGGATGCATTATTCAACAAGATTGAAACACTGAAGCATCAAACGGAATTCCATTTGCACGTGTCCTTCATGGAGGTACCTTTTTTTTTTTTTTTTTTTTAATCTGCCAAGTTTACACTGAGTGAGATATTCATTAGTAATCACATGCAATTGAATGATGTTGTCTTCTGGACTGCTAGTTTCCTAATATAAATTCCTATCCAGTTACTAAAGAGAAATGGAATTTCAACAGCTAGTTAGTTGACTGTATCTGTATAAATAACTGGCTCCTTGGACTTTGGCTCTAGTCATAAAGAGGTCCAATTTTGGTCGATGAGGATTTCCAAGATGCATATCTTGTCATGCATAAGGTTCCTGTTTAGGTTTGCATTGTACAACGACTGCTAGTTGAGGTTTCTATAATAAATAAATATTTTTTGGTTACTTGCTAAAGTTTTATAGCAATCAAGGTTTAATCTGCCCAACATAGTAATAGAAAATGAGAGATTTCAAGGTTAAAATTTGGAACTTGATTCTTGCTGATTGAGAAACTGTCAGTGTCAGATGATTAAGGACCTAAAGATATGCCCTGAGTCGTGCACTGTAAATGGTGCTAGCCCTGCAGCTCAATACAACATGTTTAGTACAAAAACAGATATTAATCTGCGAAGCTTCCTCTACATAACTATCTAATGATCTGAAAAGGAAAAATCCCAAATTTTTATTGAAATGATATTGAACATCACGTGGTATGTTAAAATATCTTTTCTTGTGCTAATTCCATGGATATTAAGAACAACTTTTGGTATATAGTATAAATTCGCAACTGATGGATAGACTGTTATTCTTTTGTCATATACTGTTCGTTAATACATGATTTCCTCCTTACTGAGCATTGAATTATTGGATTTCAAATTTGAAGATTTTAAAGGAAGAAGTGAGGGACTTGTTGGATTCTGTATCTGAGAGTAAATCAGTGGCTGCTAATGGATATGCTGGGAAAATTGCAGTTCCTGGGAAGCCTCAAATTCAAATTCGTGAAGCATCTAATGGAGTTATAACGCTAGCAGGATCAACTGAAGTAGCTGTCAGTACATTGAAAGAAATGGCTGCATGCTTGGAGCAAGGATCATTAAGTAGGGCAACAGGAAGTACAAATATGAACAACCAGTCCAGGTAAACCCTGAATGCCAAAGATTACCATTTTTGCCCAAGATTTCATTCTAACTAACCTTCTCCATGCATACCAATTGAAGCTATTGAATTTTTGGTTGAGAATCAGTCTTCAATTTCGTTGCTATTTGAAATTTGATATTAACAATGAAACTTCACCCCACAATTCGCTATATTCCTTTCCATTGAATAAGTAACTAAGTTTCCCAAATATCTGCGGCTTGACATTAAGACAAGTATTGAATGGCAGAGAAGGCTTCAAAAAGAAAAGGATAATATAGATCATAACATGGAACACCCTTATCAAGAAAGTAAAATTTGTAAAGCGATGCAAAATTCACTTTGGGAGTTTGGTATTCGCACGGAAAACTTTGCCTGCTGAGATCATAAGAAAGTTAATATTTCTTTGTTCATCTACATTCCATTTTAGCTAGGAAGGCTTGTCTCATCATCATAGCTTGGAGATGAATTTTCATAATCTAATGGCCCCTTATTCCCTTCTGCATGTTCCTAAAAGTCGGTCGCATGCCATATTCACGATCACATTAGAACAGATGCGCAAACTCCATTCAGTTTCTCCTGTTAATGACACTCCAGATGAGGATATGGGCGAAGAGTATTTCTGTGCAAAGCTCCATTTGGTAGATCTAGCTGGATCTGAACGAGCAAAAAGAACTGGTGCTGATGGTCTTCGTTTGAAAGAAGGTAGGCAGATAGACTTTACTTAGCATACTCTGCTTTCTCTCTCATTACTATCATATAATAATAATTATTACGACAAAGTATCTGACCAAGCAGAATGGCGCAAAAGGATCCATCTAGCTGACCCCAACTAGTCCGGGATTAAGACTAGGTTGTTGTTGTTATTGTTATGACAAAGTATCAATTTTGTTTACACGAGCAGGTATTCACATTAACAAGGGGCTTCTCGCACTTGGCAATGTCATCAGTGCTCTGGGGGATGAGAAAAAGCGAAAAGAAGGCATGCATGTTCCCTACCGAGACAGTAAACTGACCCGACTCTTACAGGTTAGACTAACAAAAATGATGTGTGTACATGTTACTAAATTTGTGCAGCTAATGTTGACATGACCATGCAGTTCCCTAGTATCTATGTAACCAATAAACAAGGTAACACAAATTAGATGAAACATTTGCCTTATTAATATATGACTTGGCAATTCTCATGATGCATTGTCTTACAACAAGTACACTCAGATATGCTATGTTACAAAGCTTTCAGTAACTTATTTATTTATTTTCGGATGTCGAGTAATTCTTAGGTGGTCAAATGTAAAGTTTGATAGTTATGGGCCCCTTCACATGGCCACATGGTATTTTAAGCTAATGTATCAATGGTTTAAGTAGTGAAAAAGGTTTTTGCACGTAGTATGCATTAAAGCTACACATAAAAACTAAATAGGTGCTAAAAAATTATTAGCAATAATGCCAATAAGATGCTTAAACTTAATACGACTCTACTTTCTGATGATTAAAATTTTGGGTCAAAGGCTCGAACATGGTATAGGAGAGGCCAGTATTGTCTTTGTTTGTTATTATTGTGGCTCCATGCATGTGCTGCACGTCTTGGTTAGGCTACACTTACTGTTTTTGTTTCAGCTGTTAGGCCTGCAAACAACAAGGGATTGGGCATATTGACTAACCATATAGTTTCATATGGTTGTTCTTACTGTGAAAATTTTCACCGACTAGTAACCCATTGGATTAGCTGGCGCTTTAACATTGGGTTGAGTTATTAATGTTAAAATTTAGTTGTTGAGGCATGTTCATGAGGTATCAGTTAGCGGTCTTGGTTTTTTAGTTTTAAAATTTAATGGAACACAATATTTGAGTGGATTTGTTGGCATCAGAAATGATAAACAAGATCATTCCATGTGTCACAAGAATTTAGGAAGTGGTAGAGTAACTTAATAATGATATTTCTTAATTTCCTTTTGCCAATTCAATCTCTCTTCTTAATGTTTCTGATTACTCTTTGGCAGGATTCACTTGGTGGAAACAGCAAGACTCTTATGATAGGTAATCAATAATTGTGCTTGCTCTTTTTCAAAGAGCTGTCTGGAGAAGATGCAGACATTTTCTAGATATCTTGATCTAGATTGCTATGTATAATACGCTTAGAAATTTTTATTTTTCTCCAATTTCTGAAAGTTTCCTTCCTTCCAGCTTGCATCAGTCCTGCTGACATCAATGCTGAGGAAACTCTCAACACTCTCAAATATGCAAACCGTGCTCGTAATATTCAAAATAAGCCTGTTGTAAGTTTCTTCTATCGCTTAAGTGTTGCATGCCTGCCATGCATACTCTTGCAGATTGTAAAACTTGACCAGGTCTTAACTGCCACCTATCATGGTGCAATGAAATCTCTGTTTGTTGCACAGGCTAATAGAGATTTAATATCAAATGAGATGCAACAGATGCGCCAACAGCTAAGGTACTTGCAGACAGAACTTTGTGCTCGTGGGGTTGGAGCTACCTCAGATGAAGTACAGGTATATGCAATCTTCTAAACCATTATTCGATCTAGTTAGTTCATTTTGTTTTTGGGGAAATATATGCATTTGGTTGCAGTATGCTTAAAGCTTAATGAGTTGAAAAACTTTCCTTTAACAGGTTCTCAGGGAAAGGATTGCTTGGCTTGAGGCTACCAATGATGACCTTTCTCGAAAACTTCATGAATACCGGAGTCGATGTGCTATTACAGAGCAGTGTGAAATTGATGCTTTTGTATGTTGAAGGAAATTCTTATTTTTTATCTATTCTCTTTTCTTTCTCTGGTTTTGTTTTCCCCAAAATAATGTTTTCTCTTCTCATTTGCTTTTAATATTGGTATAATTACATTTTGTTTACTAATTTCGTGCCATATCTAATTTTGATTACTAGAATCATAGTAATGGTTTTTGGTTTTAAACATCAGGAAGGGCATTTCTCTTCTGCAAAAAGTGATGGACTTAAGAGGAACTTTCAGAGTATGGACTCGTCTGAGTACCATATGGATGAAGCCATATCAGGTAAATCACTTGTTTCCTAGCATTGTCTAGACTATTCTGGAAGAATAATGCAGGTAGTAGATCAAAGGAGCTTGAACATGCATCAGCCTTAGAAATAAACCAGAAGACAATTTGTTTTTATTGATTTTAGAACCCATTTACCTATGTGCATATTAGGCCTTTATTTTTATATTTTTGTGTGGGGTGGGGGGTTGTGGATGGCCACACCATGTGGTCCATTTGCCACTTCTCTTACATCTTGATCTTGATTGCAACTGCATTTGCAGGTGATAGCTCTGGGGAAATTGATGAAGTAACAAAAGAATGGGAGCATGCACTTATACAAAGTACCATGGACAAAGAATTGAATGAGCTGAGCAAACGTTTGGAGAAAAAAGAGGTTTTGTTTGTGGCCTTGTTCTATGAAACATATACATTGATTATATAAATGATTTTGTTTGGTTAAGGATTTGAAAATATGTACTTCAGGTCGAAATTAATTTTCATCTGACAAAAATTTTACATCCAAATGAAATATATGAACACGCACATCCGTGCATATAAAACAAAGGTGTGTGCGTTTCTATTTCCATTTTCCATAGCACACCATCCATTTTGATGTGGTTGGTTTGATCTTTGGTGGGACCTACAACGTTCGATGTTGGAGATGTTAGAGTTTCTAAAGTCTTGAGTGCTTAGTCTCCCTTTTGTTTTCTTGAAGCATATTGCCCTCAAACTACAGCACTGACGCCTCTAAGAAAACTCTAGGGTGCCTCCTGAAACTATCATATTGTTTCTTCTATGCAAATATCAATTATTTGAAACTTTCTGCAAAATATGAAGGTAATGCTTTTTGGAACTTAGTGTTATAATTCTGTAGTTTGAAGAACTGGATATGCAGATGTTTGCTATGACTATTTAATAACCTTCTTTTGAGTGGAAAGGAATGTAATACTGCAGAGTGCAGACTGGCTTGTTTTTACAACTTATTAGATTTTTAGTTTTAACTCATCTCAGGAAGCTTTTTTGCCTTGCTTCATAATCAAAGTAACTTGATGCTAATGTGCAAGCATGTTCTGCTGCATGTATCAATAGCCAAGAATGTCTAATTCTACTTGCCATGTGAAGTCATAGGCCCCCATGTACCTTTAAATATTGATATTGATATTGATTAAACTTTATTTTTTCTGCTTATGAATGCATACATTTAAGTGATCAAAGTTACAGAGAAAATCTTTCAATCTCAGTTGATCATGCTAAGTTTGGCCTTTGTTTCACTTTTTGTTCCTTTTATGCAGTTTGAGATGAAATTTTTTGGAGGGGTTGACACTGAAGCTCTGAAGCAACAGTTTAGGAGGAAGATCACGGAACTTGAGGAAGAGAAAAGAACTGTGCAGGTAAATGGTACATTATTGAAAATTTGTTGTATACTTCAGATTCACAGTTAAGTCTGATGATAAGCAAAATAAACACAGAAAGAGAGGGACCGTTTATTAGTCGAAATTGAGAACCTTGCTGCCAATTCTGATGGACAAACACAGAAAACACAAGATATTCATTCTCAGAAATTAAAAGCACTTGAGGCACAGGTGACATGCTTCATCCGAACAATGTTCTGTTGGCATGATATGTTGTTTTGTATGATTGTAAACTATTTTGATCTTACAAATTCAGATTTTAGATCTTAAAAAGAAACAAGAAAGCCACTATGAGCTTTTGAAGCAAAAACAAAGAAGTGATGAAGCAGCAAAGAGATTGCAAGCTGAAATACAATATATCAAGACTCAAAAGGTTGGTTTCAATCTGATGCTTTTGCTAGGTTTACATTTACCTCAATCATATCTCATGGTTTTGATATCTGTCCAACTTGTGCCTTCATCAATTTTTAGGTTCAGTTGCAGCATAAGATAAAACAAGAAGCAGAACAGTTTCGACAATGGAAGGCCACTCGAGAGAAGGAATTGCTGCAGGTATTCACTTACCAAAAAAATGAAACTACAAAGTTAGAATGTGCTATGTCGCCAAAATCATACTTATTCATTTTTTTCTTTTTTTTCCTGATTGCTTTGATGTTTTCAAACATGGTATTACTTTAATCTGCTCTCTAGTTCTGTCATACTTTCTTCTTTTTTAATAGTAGTATTCTTTCTACGGTTTTGATTTTTGTTTTGCTCAAGCAGCTAAGAAAGGAGGGCAGGAGAAATGAGTATGAGCGACATAAGCTTGAAGCCCTGCATCAACGTCAGAAAATGGTAAGGAACTATATCTGGCAAGACTTTAGTCTAGGAATTGAATTGTAATCATTAACATTGTACAATTCCTTTCGCTTTCCATTTAATTTTTCATGTTTGTGCACTGCTTGTTTTATTTATAGCTGTTCTGTAGGCCAAAACAGGTCATGTTTGGGGATGTAGCAACTAATAACGAGTATTGACTAGGCTTTTAATTGGTTGATATTAGTAATGTTTAAGGAAATTGGCATCATTGCTTTCTTGTTTCAGGTTCTTCAAAGGAAGACAGAGGAGGCAGCAATGGCTAGCAAAAGGCTAAAGGACTTGTTGGAAGCCCGCAAATCTTCACCACGTGAGAGCTCAGGTAAATATTTCTTCTTTGAATTAGCTTGTCTCTAAAATTTATGATACACCAATTGTTTGATTGTCCCTTGCAGTTAATTCCAATGGACATGCATCGCCTGGGCAGGTAATGATCTAGAATTCATCTATTGCTTATAGTGTAATAAGTTGATCCAGAGTCTGCATCTTTTGTTCAAATTGAGCAACTGCTGTATGGGCTGATTGGGTTCAGTTAGGCTCGTAGCAATAATCAAAGTGTTCCTTCTCCTTGTTTGTTTTCAAAAATATTGTATGGTTAACATTGTTTGGTTGGTTGGATGCCTATGTCGGGCTTTTAATATGTTATGGGAAGTAAACTTATTTCAATTTCTTCCACTGTTTATGAGGCTACCTCGTAAGGACTACACAGCAGCAAGCTTGACCTGCTGAAATGACCTATCTGTGACTTGCATCATATTTAGGCTACCAAGTCAATGCACAAAGTTAATTTTGAGTTGCATTTCAGGGCAATGAAAAATCCTTACAAAGATGGCTTGATCATGAGCTTGAAGTGACGGTGAAAGTGCATGAAGTTCGTCTTCAACATGAGAAGCAAAAACAGGAGTATGTAGTCAGCATCTAGCTTTTCTTTGTTGCTATCTGTTCAAGCTTTCTTCGACATGCTACAGTTATTTTATGAACTAGAACAATTAAACAGACATGCTGCACTAGCGGAGGAGTTAGCCTTGTTGAAACAAGTGGATCAGCTTTCTCCAAATGGGGGTGGTAGTTCACTGGAAGGAAAGAATGGACAAAGACATACTCGGTATATTTCTAATTAATTGCTCTCATTTGTAACATGGAAATTATGATTGATCAATAAGATTCAAACCTGAATTTGATTCATGAGACAAAAGATGGATGTATTTGGGATTACGCATGAATAAAATCTCTTATGATCATATAGTAAGATGGAAATAGAGTATCCTGTGCTATTATTAGATTAATTTACAGGTGTGTTTCTTTCACCCGACCAGATTGTTGTTGATGTCACCAAATGCTAGAATGGCTAGAATAGCTTCTCTGGAGAACATGCTGAGAGAATCTTTAAGTGCACTAGCAACAATGGCTTCACAGCTTTCAGAAGCAGGAGAGAGGGAGCGTGCCTTTATTGGTCGTGGACATTGGAACCAAATACGCTCAATGGGAGAAGCTAAGAACCTGCTTCAGTATATGTTTAATGCTGCCGCAGATGCAAGGTGATGTAGTGAAAACACGGTCTTCGTCCCATTTTCTTTTGGCAATTGGATTTTGTTTTGATATACCTTCCAGAGAATTTAAGTAAATTTGATTCACTAACTTCTAATTTTATGATATAGCAAATGTAAGGCTAATTTGTGCTCAGTAAAGTAACAGATAAGATGCACCTTTACATGAGCAATCTGTTATACCATTTACACTGACAATTTTCTGTGAAACAAATAAACTGGAAAAGAAACAAAAATGAAAGTTGATGGTAATTTACGCGAATGAGGATGAATTTGTTTTACTTGGATTATTCATGTTCATATTCTGTACTTCCATTTTAACTTACCCACATCACCATCTTCCCCTGTAATTGGATTACCGTAGACAGTATCAATTGTAGATTATTTATAGTGATAAATTTGATGGTTGTGTGCGGGAACTTTACAATAGTAGTAGCCATTTGTCAACAGGTGCCGATTGTGGGAAAAAGATATGGAAATCAAGGACACTAAAGATCAATTGAATGATCTTGTGATCCTACTACAACAAAGTGAGATCCAGAGGAAAGAACTATTGAAGGAGCAAAACATGAGGGAACAAGCTGTTGCTATTGCCTTAGCAACATCATCTTCGGTGAGAATATCTACTCAACATTTCATAGTTTTCATCATCACACGTGCTAAATTGTTTTTCTAATTCTAAGTCATGAATTGGAATATCCTACTTTTTGGTCAACTTTACACAGATTCCTACGTGTTATATTAACCCCTCAATATACGCCGAAAAGAATTTGCATGGCTAATACATTTTGTAAATACTTGTGTAACTTTTTGCTTCCTTTGTCCATTCATGCAATATCATAAATGGGTTTCTATTACTTGCGAGTCAACAATATTCTGGAATTGTTGACGGAAGCCACCATCGCTTTCCTGGGTCGCGGTTTGTAACCCAAGCGCCAATGAATGGGGATGCTAGAACCTTTTTTTCTTTTGGGAGGAAGGGAAATTGCTCTTACGAATCTAAATCAACAGGATAGCTCGCGCAGTTCATCAAAGCATTATGAGGATGACATGAGCGGTCCTTTATCTCCAATGTCGCTTCCAGCGCCGAAGCAACTCAAATTTACACCTGGCATTGTTAATGGGTCTGCTAGAGAGTCGGTGGCATTTCTAGACAAAACGGGAAAGGTAATTCCTCTGCTTCTTTGCTGTCTTTGAGAGTGTGGCTTCCTTTTTGATTAGTAAAGGCAATATATGCTCTGAGTGCAGATAGTACCGGTTGGGCATTTATCAATGAAGAAACTGGCAGCTTTAGGGCAAACTGGAAAACTCTGGCGGTGGAAAAGGAGTCATCATCAGTGGTTGCTTCAGTTCAAATGGAAGTGGCAGAAACCATGGAAGCTCTCAGAGTGGATCAAACACAGTGATGAAACGATCATGAGGTCAAGGCCTCGCTCCCAGGCTCTGGTTGATATGATATGACTACCACATGCTGTACATATATCTTGGTTGCACGTATGATCTGACTCATGGTTGAGTGAAAGCTTGTGCTAACTGGAGGTAAGTCTTGTTTTGTTTTTCATATATTTTTACCATCATACCAGAAGGATTGAAAATTTTGTTAATTATTAGTATTTGAACACAATGTTTTATGAGCACCATGATAGAGTTGCAAGTGAGCATATTATTCTTAATAATAAATTATCATAGAATCATCAAACTTTGGATTTAAACTTGCATAAAACAGTCATCTTTTAACTACCTGGATATTGGTGTGGGCAACTTGAGTTCCAGTAACTTTCTGAATGCTCTTATGCTTAAACTGGCTCCTCAGATATCTGTTATTCTCTATGCCAAGGAAGCAAACCCTTACCATCTAGAGTGATTGTTTAACTTTACTACCATTTTAATTTTTAATCGTCTCTGCAAGAATGCATGACATCCATTTTCCTTGCAACGATGCAGGCTGTTGTACATTGGCAAAGAGAGATAGTTTCGAGAGATAATGGGAAATTGTTGATGCCGTCTTAATCATCGATTGGCGAATCATTTCATCTTTATCTTCTCATGCCGGTGGGTTCACAAAAAGTTTGGAAAATGGCTGAAGGGCTGAGCAACTGAGCATGTTTGTATATGATGTAAGATTTTGACGCTGTGCTTCAGGATGTTGTAGATTTTTCCTGTTAATTTTTTTTATTTTGTTGCTATAAAAAAATAATACAGGAAATGATTCCTTTGATTTTAGGTTGTTTCCAGTTTGCCTGTACATATAATGATTATGTTAAAGAATTATAAATAAAGAGTAATTTTTTCATTTAGTCGATAAATGTGTTCGTCAGTTCATTGGGGAATTCTACCGTGGCTTCGAGCCAACACGTTGTGGTAACTTTGATATAAATTCTCCACCAAAAATGGAGGTTTTATGGAATTGTAAGTGACTGATATAAAATTTGTGATGGGCTGCTATGTGAAGCATGGTTCCTGTAAGTATTGCAGAGCAATTAAAGTGGGGTTACCTATTCTACTATCTCTCCCTTTCATGCTAATGTTTTTTTTTCAAAAAAAAAAAAAAACATAGAAGAGGTTAGAAATTGACACTTTTTGAATCGAGAAAAATACTCATTAATGAGTTTATTCTATAATTGGTTCCTGGACAATTTTAATTTTTTTTATTGAGGCTATTATTTTTCAGCTTGATTGAAATTTTTATTCTTATAAATTTATTGATTGAGACCTTCAATTATAATGCTCGTTAACTATTCATCCCACGTATCACTTTAAAAATGATAGTAGCCAATCAAGTACCGACACATGGAAATGTGGATCATAAAATTTTACTACGTGCCGTTGTCTTATTAGCTATCGTTAGTTTTAACTTATCACATATGATGAATAGTTAACGGTATTATAACAGAAGGTCTCAATCATTAAATTTGTAGGAGTAGAAGGTTTTAATCAAACTAAAAAATAATAGAAAGTCTTAATTAAAAAAAAAACCGTACAAAGATCAATTATGAGGTAAACCCAATCCTTAATAGAGAAAAATACTAATGTTAGTTGAATTGCAGTAACAATTCATTGGTCTCTTTAGGCTAATTTAACTCCGTTGGGTTTGAAATCAAACCGGATCGGTGTTTTGCTTAAAATCTAGGCCCGATTGAGTCTCGCCGGATAAAATCGAAATACGTATTGCCTCCGAAACTATCACCAATTAAACGCATTCCATATATCATGAAGATGACAATATAGCCGCTTTTAAAACGGATATATTGCATGATGCTCGGTTAAATGTTCACCTCAATACAAGCATATGAATCTCAAACGTTTGATTTTTCAAGTAACGGTGTGCATTGTAGAGCTATGAGAGTTTTATCGACTTCGAATAATAGCCATGCTAGTAAAAACCAACTCCATTCCTCCACAATGGCAATCTGTTACAGCTACTCGCTATGGCATGTTTATAGGGTGTGCAATACACTTATACCAACATTCCGTATTCTTGGTTAAATCGCAAATGATTTTTGAACAAATTATTCCGTGCAAATAATCCTTAAACAAAATTAATAGTAAAATTGATTCTTTATGTTAAATGGGGTTAGGTTTCTATCCAATTTAGGTTAAGTAAAATCACCCGCTTAACATTTGCCACCCTAACCCACTTAATAATAATAAATAAAAAAATCCAATTTGCATTAAATAATTTGTTCGAAACTATTTGCCTTTTGATCAATAATATAAGGGTTTTTCACATTTTACTTTTAAAAAATTAGATGGAAACCTAACTCCACTTAACATAAAACTAATTTTCACTTCAATTTTGTCCGGAATTGTTTGTGGAATAATTTTTTAAGAAACTATTTACGTTTTGATCGATGGTATAGTATAGGGTCTTATTACATTTTACCTATAATGAAATTATTAGGTAAAACTGGTTTTAAATCAATCTAGGTCTTACGAATGTTGTTAATTACTTCATTGATTATGGTCCATCAAGTCTTGACCTAAGAAATTATTCTTTAGCTCGACCGTTGGATCCTCGATTGCCTACTAGGAACTAGAGTCTTTGTTAATGAGAAGTAAATTAGGCATGAAACTATAACAACATGGTTGGGGCGTTGATGTATTCAAAATTTACTCTAGGTATGCAAACCTAATAAATTAGATCATGCAAAATAGGTCTTTTGGGTATTAAGTTAGATAGTTAAGAAATTATTCTATCCAAAGCCTTGAACCTTTTGGTGGGTGGGTTTTTCTATATTTTATATATTACTTATCTATTTTAATTTAAGATAGGTTTTCTTAACACCCTCCCTTATTTACAATCTATCTTTTTATGTTTGTCATGTAATTTGGACTCTAAAATATTTGCTAGAATATTAGGCTTTTTGAAGCTCTAACATCATATTAAGTTAGATGGTTGAAATTAGATTTCATTAAAAAAAAAAACTTAAATCTTTTGATAGGTGACACTTATTCAACTTTATATATTACTTATTTATTTTAATATGAAATAAGTTATCTAACACTTTCCTTCACTTGCACTCTATCTTTCTAGGATTTGTCAAAGGTTTTGGACTCTAAGATTTTTACTAAAATGTTAATCTCTTTGAAGCTCTACTATCATATTAAGTTATATAACCGAGATTGGATTCCGTTTAAAAAACTTAAGGGTTTTTTATTGATGATTTTTTTTCAATTTTATATATTACTTATCTATTTCAATATGGGATAGGTTTTTAACATGTTAGAGAATAATATAAAATCATTTTTAGGATCTCACCTAATAATTTGAACTTTTGGGTCTAAATAGTTTTTGGATGTGGTTGACCAAACAATCACGAGTTCAAATCTCACTACCTTTCTTTCAATAATTAAGCACAAGGTAATTATGGATCTATGTAAATTTCAAGCTCAAAAGGTTTTATTTGAGAAAGCATGTTAGAAAATAATAAAAAATCATTCTTAGAATCTCACCTAATAGGTTAAGTTTTTTGATTGAGTTGAGTAATTAAGGAATTAACATCTTCAAGTGAAAAGCTTATGGATTATAAACTCTTAGAGTTATGATAATTAGATTAATAAGCACGTAAGATAGCTTTTCTAAAAATTAGGAAAGAGGTTGATGCTGGTTGAGAGTGAAAAGAGCAAGCAATAGGCATTGTGGAGCACGATCGTAGCGAGTTACAAGAAGATAGGGAGCATTGCAAAGCAACACGAGTAGTTGCAAAGGAACATGGAACGTTACAAGGGATCATGGAAGGATTAAATAACTATAAAGTAAGTTACGTAAAGAGAAGAAAGAAAAAAACAACACAACAATCAATCTAATAACATTTGCAATAACAAGACACTTTCAAAGCACTTTCACAAGTTTTGGAACATTTGGAACTTATTAGGCAATAATGTGTAGACTATAGTGAATAGGCAGTAATCAAAATAGGTTGATAGATTTATAGACCGATAATTTGGCTACCTAATACCATTTTGTAACTAAAATCTATTTGTATAGTCCTTAAGAAATGAATTCTCATTCGAACATCATATCTTGAGAAAGAGTCTCGATTGAAAGAAGACAACAAGAAAACAATCAACTCAATAAAATTGGTAACAATAAGACGCTCTAAGAGCATTTTCATAAGTTTAAGAACATCCGAAACTTGTTAGTCAATAGCTTATAGGTAATAACTCGTAGACTATAGTGAGTAGGCAGTAATTAAAATAGGCCGATAGATTCGTAGGCTTGTAATTTGGCTCCCTAAAACTATTTTGTAACTAAAATCTATGTTTGTAATCCTTAAGAAATGAATTCCTATTCGAACATCATATCTTAAGGAAGAGTCCCAGCTTATAAATAACATTTTTCATTAATAAATGTCAGTTCTCTTTTAAACCTTAGGCGTTGTTAAGCTTGTAATCTTGTTTTTCTAATTTACATGTTGTTTGATTTCAAAGTTAATAATATAAATTTATTTTTTGATTGCAAAAAGGCTTAGAAAGTTTAAATTAATAGCTTAAAAAGATCATTGCGAGTGAATAATCAATTTTTTAAGTTGCATTCTAACTTATCTAGATAGATTGCAAACTTTACTTATGGTTTACAAATTGATTTTATTTTATATACTTTAGTTATATATTAGAAAAAAAATACCAAAAAAAATATGTAGAATAAGAATTCAAGTATATAAGATAGTGATTTAAACTATAAAGTGTTGAATATGGAAGTTGGGTTATCTTGTAGACTATTGTCCAACCAATCAATTTTCATTCTTTTGTTACAAAGTCCTTGACAATCAAGATAGGCACGAAAAAAGCTACAACACTTTCTAGTGAAAACAATTAAAGTATCAATTTATATTTTTCCATAACATCGTTTGGCCACCATGCTTGCACTAAGTTTTGACAACCATAGTGGGAATGTCATTCAAGTTTCTCTCCAATAACTTTTGACGATCTTAACTTTATCAATTTTGATTTTGGTATGATACTAGATTACCAATGTTTATATGGAGAAAAAGAGTTATTTCTAGAGATGCTAAATTTTAAAACTCTTTATCCAAACAATTCTCGGGAGAAAGATTATGATAATGCAAACTACATTTATGATAGAGAAAAAGAGTCATTTCATGAGATGTTAACTTATAGAGCTAGAAAGAAATTAATACAAGAAGTGAAAATTCATGATATTCATAAGCTCATTACAATAGAAGAAAGACAAGCCATTTTGGAAGCAAAATTAAAAGTGGTACATGAAGAAAATAATCATAAGCATCAAATGATATAAAAAGTAATTGATATTTTCCATAAGATGAGAATGACAATGGTATAGAGATTTTGTAGTGATGGGATTAAACATGATTTTCATGATTTTTTCCTATAACACTTCAT